CTCACCAAAACCAGTAATATTGCCCATGACATCATAATAATTTTTCCACAGCCAGTAATCATTTACAGTACACCCCATTACAAATTCACAAAAGAAGTGATTATGTATCAGGTTACGATTAAATGGAAGAGAAAATAAACCAAGGGCTCACAGTACTCATCCCATCCCTCAAGTGAGAGACATGCAAATTAAATAGATACACTGTTGTCATAACTGAGAGTTAGGCAGTTAAAATCATGTGGCCCAGCTGGTGCGTAAGAGCATACAGAAGGCTGTATCAGTTCAGACTAAAACCATCTAACCCTATGTTCTGCCTCCAGACCAGACGAGCTCATATGTAGATGCCAAGGAAAAGGAAGATTAGGGCAACCATGTAACAATGCTTTCTTTTAGTATCTCCCCAGCTTCCAAGTATTTTCACCTCAGGAGGTAACACCGCCTGAGGCTGTTACGGTTTGTCCATTTAGCAGAACCCCCCGACAGACTTCTAAGTATTTCTCCTTAACTGTAGCTGCCTTGCATCCAAGATATATACTTCAGTAAAATTTGGAACTGTAAGTATTTCCCTCGCAGATTGATCAATAGTCTAAAGATTACTTAAGAAGGTAGCAAGAAAGATAGCTAAGTTATTGTTTCTGTCAAAACTGCGTTACGTAAATCAATAGTAATTTTTCCTGTGGAATGGTTTTCTGGTTACTAAGTGAATATACAGTCTTTAATTTTCATATTAACTGTTGTTAAGTAAACATACTTTAGGAAATATGATTTATTAATATCAGTTTCTATCAATCAGTGTTTTCTCCATTGTTGGATACTTTGGATTTTTTTTAGTTTTTATGCATTATATTGTTCTTTGTAAGCTAGTCAAACATCTAACACAGAATGAAGGTGTTTCGTCACTCAGTTTGTGAATTTTAAAAGTAAGAACCACATCCCATTGCATACAGATGATGTGTGCCCCACAAGCAATTGCATAACCGGGACACTTTTTGTGCAATCTCTCACTTTTACTGCATTTCATTAGGAAAAAAAATGCGTTAATATTACATCATAACTTGAAAGTCAAACTGCTTTACGTAACACTAAGAAGAAAGAAAACATTTACTTGGTCAAACTGCAGGTGGCTGACCAGTGTTTTAATTACATGGAAGAACACTCAAGTAATCTTCCCAAAATAGTCTAGAGGCAGCCTTCCACAGCATTTCTTAAACAGACCCTTCCCTCAGCTGTCACAATAAACTGTTTCTGGGGTTGCACAGGAAAACAGATCAGAAAACTGATCTAGACTGAAAAATTAACCAAGTTTGTTTTTTTTTTTTCACCTGGATCAGTTCAACAGACCCATTTTCTGGCTTAGTCACACACACACAAAGGCATGCTGGAACTCGTGAAGTGGCAACCTAGAGGACAGCAAGGCTATTGCTACTAAAATAAAGACTTGTGAAATTACAGCCTTTGTTCATTATCAGAATCAAGGTGCAGACAAGGGAACGTAATTTTATAATAACTATACTGACTGGCCAACTTTGAATTAGCTATCCAGACTTCACATTCATGGTGCATTTTTAAAAATATTTCAATGACACCTCAATGGAAGAATTTCTACTCTGGCTCACAGAACTTCTGAGATGCTTCTAAAGTCTCTGAAAGAACTTTGTGGGATGACATTTGTTGGTTTGTTTCTAAAGCTAACATAGCATTAAACATCTGAAGAACACACAAGGTGAAACAGGATATAGCAGTTAAAAACATGATGTATGGAGCATTCAACCATTCTAATGGAAAATTCCTGGTGCCACCCTCTTCTTCTGCAGGTACGGAATCTCTTAAAAAGAAACGAGAGAACTGAAGGATGTAAAAACCCTGGCTGTCTGAAATTTGGGGCATTCACCAGAGTACTGGAAGCTTAGGCTGTAACTGACCCCACAAAGAAGGAAATGCCAGTTGCAAATGTCTAATCTGGCTAATAGCTAAACTACGTGCTTCAAGATTCAAATGGAAAAGTTGTAGTTACTGAATGTATTGACCTCTCAGAAATTACAACAGTTCAGTACAAATGGGCAGCTGGATCATGGCCTCCTGCACTTCAGCTGTCTTTGTGTTATTAGAAATTTTAATGATATAGTTCTTCATGCAAAAGATGGTAGTGTCATGTCCCTACTGACTGGACACTGTTTTAACTGTTTTAGTGAATGAAACTGATCCATCTGTGAAAATGGCAACATGAAGAAGTTGCCAATTCATGAGGAAAATTAAAATATGTTTACCATTACTTCAAAAGTAAATTTTTATTGTAAATTTATTTTTTTTCTACGTGCATATAACAATTCCAAGAGGAATCAACAATAGTTACCAAAATGTTTTCAATATCTTGGCTCTGTAAGCTGTTACTGGATATTTCTGAGAGAAGAACATCAGAAATTGAAATTATCCTGAGCTTTAAATCTCTGGTACACAACCAAATAAAAATGACAATACATAAAGGGTCTGTTCTCACAGAGGAAATTCCACACAAGCAAGTATTTCCTCAAAGCAAAAGACATTAATGCTAGTCTAAGCACAAATGTAATTTTAAGTGTATCACAAAAACCACTGAAGTCCAATTATTCACATGATCTACACTACACAGTTTTAAATTCCTTAGTAAGATGAAGCCTTTATAAAATAACTTGAAAACCAGGTTTTTCATCAACATGGAAAAGTAAGCAAATTTGTAAGCACAAGCCCTTTAAGAGTTAAAAATACTAATTTAAAAAACTATGCAAAACTGAAAACCACCCCAGAAAAATGTCGAAACAGACAAGAAGAAAAAAAAGAAAAAAAAAAAGGTGGTTAGAATGGTCTACCATAAGGTTTTAACACTGAAATTCATATTTTTTTTCGCTAGTAACATCTATCTTATTGAAAAGTACAGTTTACAAATGAAGATTTGCAAACTACTAACTCTATAGTTCTAAGTAGTCTACTAAGAACAAGGAAACTGTGTTTTATCTGGTATATGCATCACCTTTAGTAATAAAGACAGAAGCAGGAGTGTAGCTGCAGTTTTGCAGGTGATACATGACGTTTAGTAGAGTTATGCAGGTCAAAATGTAGCATAAGTAGTTTTTTTAATCAGTGAAGAGAACTCTAGGAAAAAAATGTTCACTTGTAATAAACTATTACCTTATGCATTTGGTGCATGCCTTCCTGTGGATAATCAGTAGGCCCCATTGTTGGCATTGGATGCGGGACACTGGGTGGACCAGGACTTGGCCCCATCATGCTGTGAACTGAGCCAGGAGATGGCCCTGGTCCTGGGCTAGGTCCTAGAATCGGTCCAGGTGAAGGTCCTGGTCCAGGGGAAGGACCAGGATGAGGCATGGCGCCAGGGTCTGTAGGCGTGGACATCTATTTTCTGTCTCCTTTTCAATTAGCAGAATAGCTCTAATAACAAAAACAAAACAAAACAAAAACAAAAACAGAATTTCTATGTGACGTTAGGGGCATTGAAAAAAATGTAATAAAATCTACTGACAAACATCACACAGACATGCGCACACACATGCAAACTGTCATCAGCAGAAAATGCTTAAATGATCCTTAGTGTTGCACATTAGTTTGACCATCCTTCTAAAAGCCCACTAGAAGGCTAAGGATCCTGATAGTTCAGCTAATTTCTGGATGTTTATATGTTACTCACAGAACAAAGCAACTGGTACATTATGAGAAACATCTACCAGAGACAACGGTAGTTCAACTGACTTGATAACATCAGATGTATCATGTGGGGTCAAACAGAGTACTACTAAAGGCAGGGAAGATAGCTGTGCACCTCAGTAACACGCATGTGTTCAAAAATCTCTCCCTACACAGATGTGACTGCAGTGAAATTCATACTTATAAAATTCACGGTAATGCGGCAAAACAAGTATTACAAGGATTATTAAGACTATTTTCTGACTTTTTTTTTTTTAAGTTAGGTATTAATGTAGGACCTCTCTGGATATCTCTGTATGCAATCATAATATCAAACAAAACAGACAACAGAAAAGACAATTACTTTGGACTGAAGAGTTATAATTCACTTGCGGGGTTCTGCCAATGTCACAAACCATAAGAGTGCAGCTCAAGTGGCTTATAAAACAGTAAGTGCCCCGAGAACAAATGACAGGCTTTTACAGGCTGGAAAACCGACTATTACTGTATTTTTATTTCCATGTTCTTAGTAGAACAAATTGATGCAGACTCCAGGCTTGAAACATTCTTCAGTTTTCTGAGAACTTTTATCGTTCTTCTTCAGTTTTCCAAGAACTTTTACCATTCTTCTTCAGTTTTCCAAGAACTTTTACCAATGTCTAATACTGGAAACTTTTTGTTTACTAATGTCAGAGTATTGTAACACAGTGACACAGCTGCCACATTTTTACAAAACTCATGGTCAGTTGCTGCCAACGAGATCAGCCATGTTTCTTGCTATTCCCCACTCCCAACAACACCATTTTCATGTGTTTGATCACACAGTGATCTCATTATTTGAGTAGTTAGGCCAGCAGAAAAGTAACCGTACATGTAAAAAAAACACCAAACCATCTAGTGATTCAGGTTACTGAACTGACTTTCTGAAAGGACAGATGAGTCCCAGTGCCAGCACAAGGAAGCAAGTAGGATCACTACTTTCAGCAGTACCTCACCATTAGATGGGCTTAGCCTGTTCCCTTTATTTTCTTTGGGTGTAGTTTTATAGTAAGATTACCTGCCCATGATTACTTGTCCCATAATAATAAAGCCAATATAATGAAAAATTACTTATTAAAAAACATTCTAATTCGGTATATTACAAGGTACTTAAAACGTAATAGGACATTACAAGGCCTAAGATGACTCCCTGTCCCAGCCCCTCTCCTTATAGAATTTATCAGAGGAGAGTCTTCCACCTTCCACATCTGGGTTTATCACTATCCAAAGTTAGCAGTAATTACCTTCTTACATGAGTAAGTGGTGTAACCCTGTTATAACACTGCTCATATAAAGCCAAACTGTAACACTGCAAACACCCTGGCTCGTAGTCAAATTAAGAAACAGACACTCAAGAAAAACAAAGTACCCTCCCAAGGTTCCCAACAGAGCAGAAAGGAGGCCCATCTGCAAGACATGTCAGAAAAAAAGTGGATTGGTGCTTACTGCTAGCAATCAGGGAATTCACAGCTTACAGAACTGATCACCTTTCTTCTTTTAGGAGCAAGAGTCTTTACTTACCAGAACCCACACAGAAGATAAAATGCTACTATATCAAGATCATTTTCACTTATTTACCCCCAATTACCTAATCATTCTGTCAGGATCCAAACTGGCTGAATAGCTTTTGCTTATAAATCCCCTTTTGTTATGTTTTAATAGCTACTACTCTCTTCTGATTAAAGGCAACAAATTAGAGCAATGCTTAACCCATTTAAAATAAAATATCCTGACCTGAAATAAGCTACCTTGGGATCCTATTTCCTTGCAAGGTAAAACAGGGAGATGCCTATGAAGCTCCTCTGTTCAAAACAAAACACTATAGTCACTAATTAGTCCCCTACAACCTCACAACATCACCACAAAAGGAATCAAGTTATCAAATGTTCACAACTGCATACACCATGCCATAGCTTCCTATAAGAGGCCTACCGTTTGGCTGTATGAAGGACAACAGACATTACCACAGAACGAAGAGTTTTTATATGAGTCAGTCATTACACTGCAAAATGTAGGACTGACACTCTCACAGGTGACTCTCTCTGCATGTTATAAGCCAAATTCAGTCCATTTAACAAGGCAGAACCTAGTACCACCACTATCCAGAAAAATTTATACAGAACCACAATGCAATCAATTACAAAACTACTATCAGTATACAGTATCCCAAAATATCCTATTTCACAAAAGACTTCTACCTACACCTATGCATTAAAATGGGTATCAAAATCTCCCCCCCGTTCACCTCTATTTCAAATTCAACTTGCAGTTCTCATAAAAATTAACTGGATCCAGTCTCAGCTCCACTAGTTACACTGTCATTTACATATACATTAAACATGTCCTGTATGCAAATTCAGAAAATTCTTTTTAATGGGCTAGCAAGTGCCTAACCTGTGAAAAACAGTAACTACCAGAGGGGAATGTTGCACCCCTTACACCACATCAAGTCCCTCCATTATCTTTCTTTAAGAGCAGATAAACTCACCCGATCTTATATAATTGTGAACTGTCTTGAACAGATTTGTATTCAGAGATTTTTGTATGTCAAAGAACATACTTCTATGCAAAAAGAAAAAAAAAGTAATTTATAAAATCTGTATCAGAGGAACATAAAATACTGGAAAATACTACCTGAATGCAAGTAATAAATCCTGTCCAAAGATACCCGTGGACATAAAGAGACAAAGCAATTTTCTCTGGCAATAGTAGTCCACAAAACTAAAAAAAACAGCCACTCCCATAAACCAGAACCCATTATATATGGCCCTCCCAACTAAGGATCTGGTCACAGAACAGAACTCCTAAAAAGCTTATGATTTAACATGTTTCAAAAATAGCTCAATTTATATTTACTAAGACTGAGATTGTATAAAAAACCCACAGAAATTAGGCACCCTGCTCTCATTAAAATTCAGTAAGAGCTAAATACCTAATTCCTCTAGGCCCTTAGAAAAGTTAAATGGCTCGTTAAAGTCAAAGCAAAAATTTGCAGAGACAACAGGTACAACAGTGGCCAGGCTCCATCCAGATAACATTGGTATTAGTTTGGGTACATTCTGGTGCCTATAATGAAATAAGCAAAGTGAAGCCAACTCCCTGCCAAAGCCAGTGTTGAGCCATTTGTTTTGACTGTTTTCTAATGAGTAGTGCCTGTTAGAATTATAAAGCAGGGGAGGGAGGGAAAAAAAAAAAGTAAATGCTTCTAACAGATTATAAGGACTTTAATAAAACGCAAAAAACAAATTTCCATCTCATTGTCCCAAATGATAAGGCTGCTGGCCCCGATTCTCAAATGCGTTACATACTGTCTAATTGTTTCTCAAGTGTCCAATCTTAAAATTTCCTCAAAACCCTCATGGGAGTAGTGTGATTCACATGACTTCAAATAAGACGTTCTCTTCTTGAACTGTAATCCCTTATCACTTCTTAGGTTTATTTACATCAACATCACCAAATCTCTTTTGTGAACAGCCCCAGATGGAACTAGTTGTGGTGAATCACGCAGTTCTTCCTGTGGTCTCAGAGAATTTCTCCACCTCTGCTGGTCACACCAGAGTTGAGACAGGGAGGAAAAAAAAAATCTATCATTGTCAAGGTAACTTTAGCCAGATGCAAATACAAGAAAAGCCACAAAACCAAGAGCTGAAGCTGAAGTGACTTAGGATCTGCACTATGACTTTATATGCACCTGGAAGGTCTTGTAGATGTAGCTAATGCGTTGTACAATAGGGTCTCCATCAGCTCAACGTTTCAGCACGCAAGCACTTTACACATATTCTGGTATAAACCCAAAGGTAACAAAGGCATGGATTTCCTTCACATGAAGAAAGTATGCAATATTAGTAGATCCAAAACTAAAACACAGCAGGTTACAAACCACCCGCATTACTTTGGAATTCAAGACCAGCTGGACACTCAAAAAGAGCCAGAGATTATAGACTGCTTTGACACAGGGAACACACCAAGTCTAAGAACAGATGGAGCAGTAAGTATTTATAATTCTTCTAGCTGTTTCCCTTCACCCTCCAATATAACTTCTGCCCTTCCATGACTGAGTCAACCTAAATTGAACTTCAGCCAGGATGTTTTGGCCAGATCCCCTGCTTTGGATAGACAGGGGAAAGTAAGGAAACTGCACCGCTTAGATCTGATGAAAAGGAAATGTGGACCCACGCAACAGCCACATACACACTGCAAAGCAGACTGTAACTTTGCCTTCACAGAAAAATAATTACAGCCTACTTCTCCCCACACATCTCCAACTGAAGTCATGATTCACAGGTAGCTTTGAAAAGATATTCTATGAAATTGTGACGCACTACGGGCTAAAGGAGTTATCTTTATTACACTGCCACAGAAAACATGAAATGATACTGTCAGTGATTCGCAGTATTTGCTTAATCTGCTAACCATAATCAAATGAAGATCTTCAAAGTTTAAGAACTGATTAATAATGACAGCAGCTCATCATAATTAAAGCAAATAACTTACAATACTTAGAAGCAAATCAGTGTTTTGTATTGTACAACCCCACAGGACACTATGCATTACTATTTATCAGGATTTAACTATTGTCATTTCATCAAACAATAATTCAATCAACAAACAGGTTTACATGAAACAGGTTTACACAAGAACTCAGTATAAGAGAAGAGTCAAATCTTCAACTAACATGAACCAAAGTTACTCGGTTCACATAAGAGAAGCCAAACACACTAACAGCTGAGAGATTCTGCCTTTGCATACTCATGTATGTAACTTCACTGTAGCTTCAAAACCTTCTGGAAGGGAATTTGCATTTTAAACTACAAACCACAGAATCAGAAATGCTGCACCTCAATTGCTCATCCAGACACTCAGGCCAGAGGCAAAAACCTCTGGACACTTGCTTTAGCCGCTTGTCTAGCTGTCTACTGAAGACTGTCTGCATGCACCCCAGCAGAGCTAGCAGAATGGGTGGTGTGCTTACACCAGAAACTTCATGGTGGAGTCATGTAGCGTAAGGCTCCTTTTCACATGCAGAGTCTATTTTAGGATGATAGTCCTAATATTCCCCACCTTCAACCCCTTACAAATATTCTTGTAGAAATTCTTATTTCTACTGTGTAACTGTTTCAGTCTTTCATAAAGCAACTTCTCAACTACTCTAACTTACAGCCTACCCTCTTACGAGAAACTAAAATCAGCACCAAGAAATGACTGGCTAACAGCCAGGGGTTGAATACACTACAGACAGTCGAAAGGCGTCATCACAAGTCAGAGTTCACACAAGTTAGGCTAAGATATGCCACCAGACTTTTCAATGAAGATGCTACAGGATAGACATACGATCCTTTCTGATGGCTTTGCTACAGAAGGCAATAGCCTTCAGGAAAAGGGGAGGGCAGATAGCTGCTTTAATTGCCTTTTAACCCCATAGCCACAGTCACAGCAGACAATGTCCAAGATCAAGTCCATGTCTGCTACGTATGTAGATTCCACTGTACATTTCACGCACAGAAAACTGACTCATGACAGCACTGACTGGTTACGGATTAAGTTTCCATACTGTGACCTTTACTACAGGTATTAATCACAGTTATTGAGCATCATCTTCACATTAGATTCTGAAAAACAAAAGCCATAATGAGAGGTAGGCAGAAGGAAAGGAATTCGCCATATTACTGACAGGCCTTGTCTTTACTTAAACAGGGAGGAAGACGAGGAAGAAGGCAGAAGATTGTTTTAAATACAAGTTACTTATGGTAAAATATCAGTGAAGATACGAAAAAGATAGTTTCTCTAACAACAAACTGATTTTTAACATTTTCCCAAAGGTCCCAGCTCTAAATGATCCACCTGGGTGCTCAAACCCTGCAGTGATACATAGGAAATATTCTCTACCAAGTGGAGACAAACAGGAAAATGTTTATGCCTAAGAAGTTATGACTTTACATGTGTCAGAAACAAAACAATTTTCAGTATTAGTCTTCTTATTCTGCTATATTTGCAAACTACCAAAGCTGTGTTTAAGCAAGCCTTACTTCTTTCCCTTATTCATCCTTCCTTATTTTATCTTGCAAATAAGGCATAAGCTTTTCTCTGCTGCGATTTTCATAAGTGATCTCTATGTCATAATGTTGCTGCCATTTTCATGGCAAGTGATCTTTATGTCGTAACGTTGTGTTTACTACTCCACTAGAGGATCAAACAAATAAAAACCTAAATGGATAAAGTTCAAAAGAGCTGGAGATCCAGGAAACACTCTTTATACATACAGAACTTCAATTGCAGCAGAAAACACGTAAAATATCATAGGCATTTTAAGGAGTAATTAGCAAAAATGTTCTCAGTCATACAAAGAATGAACAGTCTCCTTCTGAAAAGGATCACTAGTTCACAGCAATATTACTAACCAGGACCATGAAATTGGAGGTAAAAGTGCAGACATTTTTTAAAGTTGCAACTGTGCACATTCTGACCTTAACTTCAAAAGTCCAACAAAAATTGAGAAAATATATCTGCAGATATTAATTTCATATAGACCTTTGTCAAGAATATATTTAATATAAGAACGCTAGCTGGAGCACTTCTTCTCTTGTCAATTTTCAAGACTCAGGTGTTGGTGAAAGCATTTTTCAAACTTGACAAGAAACGCTCACAGACCACTTCAGAAATGAACAAAAGAAAAGATCTAAGACTGCTTTGAACACACTCTTCTGGCACATGTTCTATGAAACACCACAGAAACAGCAGTCCTAAAGCTGAGACATAACTCTTGAGAGAAATACTGTATTTAATGAAGCTTTACCCTCAACTCTGTCAAGTCCACATATGCTGTAAGATACACTTAACTTCAGATTTATTTTTACATGCTCATTATCCATACAACCTTTTTGCTTTCTATTACTGATACATATGGGCACAAAATTCTGCCTCCAATGCTACTCCTTCTGGTACACCACTTTTTTCCTTAGAATAACAAAAGGACAAAAGAAACAAAGTCAAAGACAGTAATAGGGCAATTAGGTTCCCAAAGAGAAAGTGTGCCTTTATTTGCACAACAACACTAACTTACACAGAAGAGACTGCCCCACCCCGAACATGTAACTGGTATACTACTAAAGGAATCAAATTCCTGCACAAAGTTTAGCGTCTGGGTCCTAGGGGCTGTGGTTAAAACCAAGTAACACTGAAGAAATCTAACGCAAAACAGAAAAGAATGCAAGCGGAACAATGGCATGTCACAGATCCCATATCAATTTTTTTACAGAAAGCATGCACGATACTTAAAATGGCAAAAGTAAAAAAAAATCTTTATAGCTTCAATTCTTCAGTTGGTTATTTACTTACCTATCTAAAATATTCATCAAAAGAGATCTTAAAAAGAACAGCGTTAACCTAAAGTTTGGGAAGTCTGAATATCAAACATAAGCAGCAGATACCAAGAGAAAACAACTTCGGTGCGACCTGTGTAGTCACGCTGACACTTAACCACTCTCTTTACTCGACCATAATGCACACGTAAGGGGAAAAAAACCAAACAATCAGTTAACTGTAACTTCAGTTCCGAGTTTAGAAGAGCTGTAACTTTCCCAGCCGTGTGCAGTTTGTTGTTCCACCATCATAAATTTGGGGGTGGGGGGGAAGAGACAAAATAAAAAACTCCATTTCTCCCCGCAGCACGGACATAATGAAACGTGGTCCTGGGGGCGACAGGGCACCCTGTGTTCGCGCGGGCACACGGACGGGCGCACGCCAAGGAGCACCGGCGGAGGGTCGGCGGCGGGCCGCCCGCTCCCTCCCCGGCAGC